TAACATTATACCTGTCAAGACAATTTGAAAGGGAGATTTGAGAATATTTCGATGAATTAGCCAGCTCGCTAACTTAACTCTTATTTCTCTCCCCTGACCTTTTCAGCTGTACTAACAGAAGCTGGATTTCAATAGTGTTCCTTGCTCAGTGGAAGAATTACTCTATATTGGCCAGTTAATGAATGGGCCATCCCTTGAAGACTCTTAAAATTCAGTATTATTACTGCCACTATCTCGTAAAAGCTGAATAAGATGAGAAGGAGTTTAAAAAATATACCTCTTTCAGATTGGAGCTCAAAGGAGGAGTGCTCAAGAGGGAATGAGATCTTCCTCAAGAATTTGTTTTGAGGTCTTCCCCAGTGAACAACTGAAAGTGGTTATTAGATTTTAAAGTCCTAGTAGGTAAGACATGGCCTAACCATGTTTGGTGTGGAGAGTGTTTAAAGCAAATGTAAAATGAAAAGCTTAGCTTGAACATTTAAAAAAAGTTTTATAAAATATCTTTGAACACTTAACCTTAATATAAAAAAGTAAGCATGACAATCCTGTTTTAAAATATGCTTCTACATTTCTAAATGAGCCAACTCATTTTCAGTTTTATGTTGGCTAAAGGAATAATGGGGAATTTCATTATCTTCTAAAGGTGATATGTTTAGTTTTAGGAAATTTGAAGCACAGAACATCTATTAAGCAGTAATTATACTTTCCTATTTCTCCAAAATGTTCACTCCTGATTTTTGACAATAAAGTCAAGTCTTGAGTAATGTGAGGTTTTCATTTGCTGTGGCAAGAGGGCATGAGCTCAGTTCACTGACAATGGTGTTAAATGACATTCATAACCGTGATGAGGATTCAGAATATATTCCTGGATTTCTCCCACTGAAATTATCATTGGATCAATCATAAACTGCTTTTGTAAATCCTGACTATGCAAATAATAATGAAGTGCAATGGCTAAGTACCTGGGATTCACACTGAGACTCTGCTGTTTTGTTCATGGCCAGAGAGTTTAAGTCCCAAACAGGATGTGACATCTAATATCCTAGCTAATTCCAAAGCAATAGTTTCAAAGTCAGAAAGTATGGCACCTTCAGGGTGGAGAGACTGTATCTAAGACCTGTCTTCTTCCCCTGGTGACCTATTAGTGTTGCAATGGATTAAAAAGAAACTGACTCACTCTTCATGACTTGCCAATATAGAGATCTACTTCAAGATGCAGGGATACCATTTCTCTTTATAAAAGTGGAAGTATCATCTTTTCAAGTCAGTCTTAAATGTCGTCAAAATCATAAAAATGAAGAGAGCAAATGAACCATAATAGTTTGAACTGTACTGCTCAAGGTATATTTGAACCACTGTGTAGACAAGGCAGCTTCCCCAGGAACTTCACTTCTGAGGATTTTCTTTCTAAAACTACAGTCTAAAAGTGTTCAAAAGTAGACACAGAGGTAGGTGGCCTAGTAACATAAGTTGAGGAAAGATAAATATGGAGATATCTCCTGAAAGTTGATAATTTCTGGAAAGATTTGAATATAAAAAAAAAAGACTAGATTTTGCCTTGTTTGCCTGGTAACCTAACTGAAGAGTTTTCAGAGTATTTATGGGGAGTTTTCAGAGTATTATGGTCCAGAAGATCAACTTACACTTTCTTCTGGTATTGTTTTTCATTTAACCTTTGGGGAGACTAAAAATCTAAAATTCTGAATATCAAGAGATTGCTATTCTGCAACCTGAGCTTTATAACAATTAATATAAAATCTCTTAGAAAGTTCTTTACTCTGAAACTTTGCTAGGGAATGTTCTGGAAAATAACTTTTTTTTGAGAAGTAAATATAAGGAATTTTCTCCTAGGCATATTTAGAAAATTTATTACAGAAAATTTCTGACACATACAAAGTAAACACAATGGTATAATGAGACAGAATGTACTTATCACCTAGTTTTAAAATTAGCAGCATTCGGCTTTTCTGGTTTCGTTTGTGCCTCTCTACCTACTCCCAGCTCAATTGTTATTATAATATTCTTATAGTTCTGATTTTTTAGGCTAAATTTTATGTACAATGAAATGAACTAATCAGAGCTGCAATATTTTGACAAATGGATAACACACACTGGATATAGCAACACTCTCATATCTGCAGGAAATGATCTTTTATTTGCTTACTCAATTCCCAACCACTGTCCACAAATACAAACACTGTTCTATTATTTCAAACAAGTACCTAAAGGTCCACAAGAACCAACATAAGAAGATGGATAAATGTCTTCAAGGATTATGAAGGAACTAAATTTTATAAATTCTTCTGTATATTTTTGGTCTTTAATTTTGTTTGGTCATCACACCAATGCATTATATAATGTGTTGTGTAATGTTTACTTTGAAAAAAATAATAGAAGGGACATATTTATACTTATATCTTCTGATATTCAATGATCACACCAACATATACACACATATAGAAAGTAGTAAAGGAAGAAAGGCAGCTTTGGAAGAGAGGCAATTTTAAAGACAGAGAGAAGAGAAAGAGATAAGACAGAGCTATGGGAAGAGTAAGTCCACATTTGACTGTATCTCTGATGCTAATGTATCCACTATAACCTTTGTTCTCAAAATGTAGTCTGTGGGCAAGAAAAAAAAGAATCTGCATTGGTACAAGATCCAAAGGTGATCAATATGCACATTCCATTTTGAGACATGCTGCTCTTGATAATAACAAAATGTAAATGCCAAAGTGAATGGAAACTCTAAAACAAGATAGACTAGGAAACAAAAATACACATGAAATCAGCAAACCCAATGCAACATAAAATGTCTTCTAGCTCTATAACTGTGTCATAATCAATTACTTTAAAAAATAGGAGAATAAACAAAGAAACATTTAAATAGTCATTTCCTATTGGGGGAGGGAAGAGATCACTATCAAATATTGGAAGAGATGTTAAGATTGGTTCATCCCAGTGATCTTTTTTGGTTCATTTTACAACCTCAAGTAACCCTATATAAGCTGTCACATAGTTTGTTTAAAACAACAAATTTATTTTTGTTTACTTTATCTGAATAATGCTTATTAAAATTCGGTTATAAACAAATGCCATCAAGTATTATAAGTCCAATTAATATTAAACAAATGATACTTTTGTAAAGGAAAAAGGTAAAAAAAGCAGATGTATTGGTTCTTAAAGTGCAGCTCTTTCTAAAATTAACCAATTACCAAAAATATTCTGAAATAACTTTTCATATCTTGTGTAGTATAATTATAAAATTAGTTTGCCAAGAGATCTCACTATTCTTTGACTGACACTGCTTAGTTCTATGAGTAGGTAAACATTGGCATAGATATATAGGAAAGAAAATAAAATGTAAAAGTGAGGCAACAATTTTGTATAAATTAATGAGATACTGAAAACTAAAATAACCTTTTTTTAAATTTTAGCAAAGAACTGTTAATACATCTGCACTATTCTGACATAATTTGACTTAAAGGAAATTATTTTATAGCCTTCCTGATAATTTTAGCTGAAATAGTTATTTCAAATGCAAATATCCCAGTAATAACTTCAGCAAAAATAAGATACTACCTATAATACCTTTATGAAAAGTGATACATAAAATTTTATCTTACATAATTATTTTATGTGTCTGTCCTTTCTAATTGCTAGAGATTTTCTTACTCTCCAAAATTGTCTAAGACCCAAAATATTTTCATAGTAAAAATCTTAATTAGATTTTTCTCGTAACATATGAACAGTCATAAATATATATTCTCAAGAATAAGACATATAATATTTATTTAGATTTGTCCCTTACTGACATTTATTTAATTTTGCATTTAAATCAATCAATAGGATAAAGGTACACTTCCGTGGGAATAAGTAAACTTCATGCATATGTCGCCTTATCCAGGACATCAAATTGAAAGTTAGTTTAAAGGAGAATCTTTGCAGAAAACAGAAAAGTGAAGAAATTGAACTTAAATTTTTGCTTATTGTCACTAAAATATTTTAACGTTTTCAAATAAATTACTAAGCATGATAAAATAATGTAGTTTGTGCATTTTATGTAAAATAACTCATTTCCATAAAATAACATTTTTCATTTGCTACTGAATGATGGGAAAAATTAAAAGTATAAAAAGATGAGCATAATTTCCCTCTCAACCATATTTAAGATCTTGATATAATGATATCTTAACCTCAGCCTATCATTTTGATTTCTAATCCTTTAAAAATTGCCCTCTTCTTATCAGCTACTTCAGGCCTGAGAAATTACAAATTAAATGAAGATATTATTAAACCTCTTTCCTACACAGAACAAATAATCCCTAAGCGTCACATTTAACAATGGGTCTGCCTCATGCACAGTAAGTTTACATATCGAGACGTGAACTCATATCTTGAGGAAAGTATTCTCATTTATGCTGAAATAGATTCCTCAGTCAAGTAATGAGAATTTAACTCAATGCAAATTTCACTGCGAATGGATATTTAAATATTCAAAATGTTCAGACGACTGTGCCCCCTTCTTTATCAAAGATGGCAACTTTCTCATCTCAGGTATTCTTTAGAAATTTTGTGTTGGCCTCATGTTGTTCAAACTAAAATCCGAGAACAAACACATTGTACTTTCTTTAAGAGATAACCCCCTGGTCATAAATTTACTCTTCCCAATTGAGCTTGTGACAGAGAAGAAAGATTAACTTTTAGCAAACTTATTTATAATAGAAAGGGGCAACTACTTTTGTAAAATGGCATGCATTTTTCAAATGGACTGTAAAAAGCATTTGTACCTGATTATGATCTAGGTAAGCTTGAAAACAAAGAAATAAAAATGCTGTATACCATTGTTTTATTTCTGTAGTTAACCTTTCAAACTTATTTTTCAAGTGTTTGCATTGTGTCAAATATTTGGTTTTAAAAAATTGGCAAAAATAGAAGGTGTTATTGCATAAATAAAATGCGTTATGATTTGAAGGAATTTTATACTTCTGTTTCATTTTCAGATGTAAAATATTTGAAAGAAGAAGATGCAAACCGCAAGACATTCACTGTCAGCAGCACTCTGGATTTCCGAGTGGATCGGAGCGACGATGGAGTGGCCGTGATCTGCAGAGTGGACCATGAGTCCCTCAATGCCACCCCTCAGGTAGCCATGCAGGTGCTAGAAATTCATTGTAAGTAACAACAAATATCTCCATGGTCATTTAAAATCACTTCCACATTGTCTGCAGCAGAGTCTGCAACAGAATCCACGCTCACTGGTGTTAACATGTTCCAAGGGGAAGTACTCCTTGTCCGAGTGTCATTCTTGACAATGAAGATAAAGCAGATCTCATAGGTTAACATTCCTAATTATGTTCAAAACTGTGGCTTGAAGTGAGTGTGTACATGGGGATGAAAGCAGAATAGTGAGGCCATATTAAAACAACTTTGTTATGTGTAGGCTTGTCTTCTCAGTAGTGTTTTTTTTTAGTAGACTAGTTTTAACCTTCTACATGAGATGATAAGTCTGTTTGAAGGCAGTGGAATATCTGTTATACTCATGATTATCATTTACAATTAGTAATAAGAGCATTAATTGTGTGACCTCATAGATGAGAGGACAGTGTGAAATGCTTTGTGGGGTTTTTCAGACAGCATAATGAGCAGTTACTCACATTAGTCATAAATTACACATAAGGACTCTAAAGATTATGGATGATTTACAGATTAGGAAATGGTAGACTTTTCATAACATTCTTTTACTTAACAAGGTCATAGGAACATAGTAAAGTGTTCATAAATGTTTATGAAAATAATATGAATAAACTGAAATATGTAAAACTAGATGAAAAGAGAAGACAGAATATCATATTTTCTGCACTGCATTATTTGATTTTCCCGATAATGAAAACTTTTGGTTGTTTCTGCAATCTGTAATGAAATTATAGCTTCAACATAGAATATCTGTGTGTCATACAATTATATTAAATCCCAAAATGCTGAATTTTAAGTACAATTTTCCTAACATACCTCATTGTGTTTTGTTTCCACTTATGTGGAAATAACTTATTGGGTGTCACAGTCTTTGTTTAGGGCATTGAACTTACAAAAACAACAACAAATAAACAACAAATTGAAATTGTTTCCATTGCCAAAATTATTATCACCACCACCATCACTAAAAAATCAATCTCCCTTACACCAACCATTCTTGATATGAATAACAGAAAAGAGAAAAATAAACAAGTACTGCATATAGCATATTGTATCCTGATGATTCTATTCAAGGACAATAAGCCAAGTGGAGACAGTATGAAATGAAAATAGTGGTAAAGTGGGTGTGCATGTTTGTGTATGTGCGTGTGTGTCTGTGTGTATGTGTGAGAGATGCCACAGAAGAGGCTAGTACCAAGACCTTAAATTAGGAGAGTGGTTTTTACATTTTTTCTACATACAGTAAGAATACCAGTGAGACCACAATGAGGACTCAGACACAATAGGAATTTTTCAGAGAAAATACAAGAGAAGTGTCAGGAAGATAAAACTTTTTCTTTCAGTTTTGATTAAGAAAATATTAATCTGATTATAATATGCTGATTGTTTTTAATTATGCTTAACTGACTACTTATTAAAATTATTATTTTTGTTCTTTTATTTTTCTTTTCTCTTTCTATTTTATCATTTTTACTTTTACTTTCAGGTATATACATTGTTTGTGGCACCTTCCCCTTCACTCCCCACCTCGCTTCCACCCAGAACCTGTTCCATCCTTTTCTTCTCCAATTTTGTTGAAGAGAAAACATAATAGATGATAAGAAAGACTTAATTTTGCTAGTTTGGGATAAAGAAAGCCATATAGAGAGATTCTTAGCATTGCTTCCATGCACTTGTGTATTGCAACCCACATTGGCACAATTCTACCAGACCTCTTCACTACTTTCTGTTCCCCTTCCCATAGTGGCCTCTGCCAATTATGATTACTTTATTTGCTTCTCAACAGGCAGCACATCAACCAAATTCAAATTTTAGGTTGTGTTTCCTTTCCCTTTTTCTCAAATGCACATTCTCCCCTTAGTGTGTGAACCATGTCCAATAATATCGCTGCATTTATTTAGGGTCTATAATCCACACATGAGGTCAAACGTGATTTTTGGCCTTCTGAGCCTAGCTAACGTCACTTAAGATGATGTTGTCTAGTTCCATCCATTTACGTGTGAATGGCAAAATTTCATTCTTCTTTGTGGTTAAAATTCCATTGTATATAAATACCACATTTTCTGGATTCATTCATCTGTTGTGGGGCATCTTAGTTGTTTCCATAGCTTGATTATTGTAAATAGTGATGCAGTAAACATGGATGTGCAGGTGCTTTTGTAATAACTTGAGTACATTCCTTCAGGTATAGCCCGAGGAATGGTATTGCTGGATCATATGGCAGATATATGTTTAGTTTTCTAAGGAGTCCCCATAATGATTTACAAAGTGGTTGTACTAGCTTACATTCTCACTAGCGATGTATGAGGGTTCCTTTCTCCCCCGCATCCTTTTAATCATTTGTTGGTGGTGTGTTCTTCATGATAGCCATTCTAACAGTGGTGAAGTGGAATCTTAGTGTAGTTTTGATTTGCATTTCCTTTATGGCCATGGATGGTGAACATTTTTTCATGTGTTTTTTCACCATTTGGACTTCATCCTTCGAAAAAGTTCTGTTTAATTCAGTTGCCGACTTCTTCATTGGTTCATTGATTTTTGGGGAGTTTAGTTTTTTGAGCTCTCTGTATATTCTGGTTATCAGTCCTTTGATGTATAGCTAACAAATATTTTCTCCCACTCTGTGGGTGGTCTCTTCAACTTAGAGACCATTTATTTTGTTGTGCAGAAGTTTTTTAATGTCATGTAGTCTCACTTATCCATCCTTTCTCTTAGTTGCTGGGCTGCTGGAGTTCTACTGAGGAAGTCCTTGCCTATACCTATTTTTTTCTGGGTATTCCCTGCTGTTTCGTATACTAAGTGAAAGGTTTATGGTCTGATATTAAGGTCTTTATTCTACTTTACGTTGATACTAGTATAGGGTGATAGTCATGGATCTAGTTTCAATTTTCTGCAGGTAGATAGCCACATTTGTTGAAGAGGCTGTCTTTTCGCCATTGTGTGTTTTTGGCATCTTTAAGGTGACCTTAAATGTGTGGACTCATCTAGTTCCCCTATTCTGTTCCACTGGTCTTCATATCTGTTTTTGTGCCAGTACCATGCTGTTTTTATTGCTATGGCTCGGTAGTATTGTTTGATGACAGGTTTTGTGATAGCTGCAGCATTGCTCTTTTTGCTCAGTATTGCCTTGGCTATTTATATTCTTTTGTGTTTTCAAATGAAATTTAAGGTCGATTTTTCAATCATTGTTATGAATGTCATTGGAATTTTGATGGGTATTGCCTTGAACATGTAGATTACTTTTGGTAGTGTAGCAATTTTTACTATTTTGATTATGCCAATCCATAAGCATGGGAGATATTTTCACCTTCTGTAGTCTTCCTCCATCTCTTTCTTCATGGGTTTGTAGTTCTTCTTGAAGAGGCCATTTACATTCTTTGTTAAGTTTATTTCTAGATACTTGATTTTTTTTTGAAACTATTGTAAATGAAATTGTTTTCCTGTATTCTTTTTCAATTTGTTCATTGTTTGTGTATAGAAAAGCTACTGATTTTTGTAAGTTGATTTTGTACCCTGCTACAATGCTGAAGCTGTTTATGGTGTCTAGAAGTTTTGGGGTGGAATTTTGGGGTCACTGCGATATAGGATGATGTCGTCTGCAAATAGGGATATTTTGACTAGTTCTTTATGTATTTGTAATCATTTAATTTCTTCTTCTTGCCTTATTGCTCTGGCTAGATATTCCAGGACTATGTTGAATAGAAGTAGGGAGAGTAGGCACCCTTGTCTCGTTCCTGAGTTTAAGGAGTATGGTTTCATTTTTTTCCCCATTAACTATGATGTTGGCTATAGGTTTGTCATATTGAAGTCTTTGTAATGTTGAGGTACATTCCTTCTTTTCCTAGTTTTCTTAGAGCTTTTATCATGAAGTGTTATTGAATCTTATTAAAAGCTTTTTTTGCATTTATTGAGATGATCTGTGGTTTTTTTCTTTCATTCTATTAATGTGGTATTTACTTTTATTTATTTATTTGTTTTTACAAGAGCTAAGGTGGTAAATTTTATGTCACATGCATTTTAGTACAATCTTTTTTTTTTATTCATATGTGCATACAAGGTTTGGGTCATTTCTTCCCCCTGCCGCCACCCCCTCCCTTACCACCCACTCTGCCCCCTCCTCTCCCCCCACCCCCTCAATACCCAGCAGAAACTATTTTGCCCTTATTTCTAATTTGTTGTAGAGAGACTATAAGCAATAACAGGAAGGAACAAGGGTTTTTGCTGGTTGAGATAAGGATAGCTATACAGGGCATTGACTCACATTGATTTCCTGTGCATGGGTGTTACCTTCTAGGTTAATTCTTTTTGATCTAACCTTTTCTCTAGTACCTGTTCCCCTTTTCCTGTTGGCCTCAGTTGCTTTTAAGGTATCTCCTTTAGTTTCACTGCATTAAGGGCAACAAATTTGCATCTGTTGAATCATCCCTGCATCCCTGTGATGAAGCTGATTTGGTCATGGTGAATGATCTTTCTGATATGTTGTTGGATTCAGTTTGTCATTACTTTATTGAGGATTTTTGCAACAGTGTTCATTAAAGAGATTGGCCTGTAGCTTTCTTGTTTGTATGTGTCTTGTCCAGTTTTGGGATGAGTGTAATACTGGCTTCCTAGAATGAGATGGGCAATATTCCTTCCTTCCCTGTTTCATGGAAAAGTTTACAAAGTGTTTGTACTAGTTCTTTTTTGAAGGTCTGGTAGAATTCAGCTGAGATTCCTTAAGGTCCTGGACTTTTCTTTCTTGGGAGACTCTTTATTGCTGTTTCAAATTCATTATGTGTTATAAATCTGTTTAGATGGTTAGTATCTTCTTGGTTTACTTTTGGATGGTCCTAAGTGTCTAGAAATTTGACAATTTCTTCTAGATTTTCCAATTTATTGGAATATGTGTTCTCAAAGTAGTCTCTAATGATTCCCTGGATTTCTGTGTTGTTTCTTGTTACCTCCCCTTTTTTATTTCTGATTTTGAGTCTTTTCCCTCCTC